CAATAATGACCTCTAGTGGTTCCTATGAAAACAAAGCGAAGTCGCTGTGACTCACGCTGAACCAGTTCTGAAGGATGTCTGGATGGTGAAAGATGTCACACTTTTGTTTTTTCGTCTGCGATGATGCCAAAAGAAGAACATACGCCTTGTTGCATTTACATAAATCCTGATCATCCTTTCCAGTGACACCGGAGTTACACTTGGAGACAGAAGTTAATCTTTTTATTTACAGAGTTGTGGTTTGAGCCAAGACAGACAGACATAGCAGCAGTAAACAGGATGAGATGCCTGCAGGGGGGGGATCAGCTTCTACAACCTCCCACTTAGACCCAGAGTTTCCTCCGATGAAGGCCACAAACATGGCCCAGAGTCCTCCTATAATATATTCATCTGCCTTTCTTTTTATTCATTGTACTGTCTACAAAATGCTTGGAAGACTGAAGAAAAGAAAACCTTTTCACATTTGAATAAAACCAGCATGCGTTCAGGACTAGGCTAGATCCAATAATGGGTACTGATGGATGCCTGACCCACTTTGAACGTTTTATGTCCTGTAAAAGCTGACCCCAGTGTGCAGAGAAAGCAACCATTAGTGCCCCTGCTGATAGATTACTACTAATAAAAAATAACGTTCATTTCCCCAGCGCTAAATGCAAATTAATTTTTCATGTATGATTAATTGCATGAAAATGAATGACTGTTTTGAATAGGTACCAGTGTAATGTTATGAGATGAACATAATATGACAACCTACAGTTACTTTCATTGCAGTAAAGCCTCTTAAAGTCTCAGCAACAAGCAGCTGCCATGAAAATGCACTCAGTGAAAGGAGATTGTTTTTATCTGGAAAATGGAACAATCAGTAATTATTCAATGTAATGTCATATACAGCACGGGGGATAGACAAAATAATGTAAAAACAGAAAGGGGTCAAATTATGTTGCCCACTACCTTTTTTCCCCCCCCAACACTTAATCTTTGTCATCTCAGTTTTTCTGTGTTTAATGTGTGCTGTCATGATTTCTAATCCCCTTGACATATTAAAGCTTTTTGCACAGTGGTGGAACATTTAATTTGAGTATAATTTATAACAAACATATAATAATAAACAAAACAATACATATACCTTAGTTGGTTATTTCTGTTTTATGTTACATTGCACTTCTACTTCACTGAGTGGAATATTATACTTTTTGTTCCATTTATTTAAATTTCAGATTTAACATACCAAAGATATAATCATCTTGTTGTCATTTTTGTGTGTTTTTTTTTTTCTCCTTAAAATTAACAAATAGTTATTTTTTTGGTCTCCACCAACTCCTGAGGGTAATACTCGCCTTTTAAGTTGCAGAATGCTCCACTGTGTTCACCAGCTAGTTGCTTACTTTGCTGCCATTTAGTCCTGGTATAGTATACAGTTGGTAGAAGGTTTTTGATGAAAACAGCTGACTGCTCTGTGTGGAAAATGCACTGTGTAAACCAAACAGTAAAGTTTCGGGTTTGAAAATCAAAACAATGTGCTGAAAGACACCAAAAAGCTCGGCAGAGCTGATGGGGAACTACAGAGTCTGGTAATAATACTCTCTGGGTTTGTTATGTGTGACACCTTTCATCACACATAGTCATTTGATCCCTTGTTAATATAAAAACATTGATTAGAGCACTTTAAGTGAAAGATCTGAGAAGACTTCTCTCACCTCTTAATTGTGCAGCTACCTCCATGCTAGTGCTCGCGCGAGGTTGAGGGTGCAGGTGATTTGCGACGTGGAAGAGTCTCTCACGTTGATTTTTCCCACGTTGGCGTTGGAGAAATCACAAATTTTATGAAGCTTTTTATTATAGGTAGTAGAGTAGTATATATAGGACTGATGATAGGGCTATTGTTTTTTTTGTTTGTGTGTTTTTATTATTTTATTTTAGGTTTTTTTGATTTTATATATATTGTTATGTTTGTTTATTATATGTTATATTATTATATGATTATAGTTTATGATATTAATTTATGTATCTATTATTATGCTGTGTATTTCTATTTATTATGCCTCATGTTCGTGTATAATGTATGCCGGCTGTGTCATATATATTATTATATTAATTCCCGGACACTAAGTATATATATATCGGCCGAGCGGGGGGGCGTAGGGTATATATATATTTTGCCAGCCAACAAGGCCTTTAAAAGGCACTGAGGATAATATGATCCAGCTTTGTAGACATAATTATTATTAGCTTTTATGTTATGTCCTTTTCTGTCCTGTCCTGTGCAGTAAGGACTCTTCTCTCAGGATTGGATGTGACCAGCAGAGGGCAACAAGGTGACTTTTCTTCTCCAAGTTTGAGGACAGTTAACAGAGGCTTGTGAAAGATTCTCTCTTGGCTTCATGGATATCTGCTGGACTAAAATATCTTCGTCACACTGACAAAGCATTAAACGTGTTCAGACGTACTGAAAAATTACCCTGAATTACTTAAACCCTTTTAAAATGTTTATTCTTACACAAACAAACTCAATCATCACTTGTTAATCACACAGTAACGTAGGGAGCAGGTGGACGCTGACACAGTATTTTCTTGTGAAATCTTTCAGCCTGAATTGAGCTGACTGAAATGTTTTATGCATGACCGCTTGACCAACAATGTAACATGAGTCACCGGCTTGACTGAATGAGATAGCAGTGATACAACATGACTCGTCTTGAGTAAGAAGTGACAAAACATGCATCCCTGCTGCTTCTGACCTTGTTGCAAAATTCGCCCGCAGCAGCTTCAACAGTATCATATCACCGGGACTATTGTCTGCTGTCTTTCACTTAGGATGTGGAAAATAAAACACAGTTCCCAAGAGCAGAAAAAACTTCCTTATTCTGCTCATCACATCTGTGCTTCTTCAAAATGATCTTATTCCTACTAACATCAATTGAGACACTCCTACCTGGGAGGTGCTGTAGATTACTGCAAAAATGTGGAAATTTTCCACTAAAGCAAAACATATGCTGACAACAATCAGCAAATGATTAGCAGATCATGTAATAGTCTGTCTTCTGTGCCATGTGTCAATTATATGTTATTTTTCTTTCAATGTAATTAATAAGTGATTAAAGTCATTAGCTCAAATGTTTTGATTAGACAAAAGTAATAAAAAAAATGTATCTTCAAACACATTTTCCACATTCCCATGCAGAACAACCTTATGTTTCAATCTAGTGATATTCTAACTCAGAACAACACCAGTGTATAGAAGCAAATGAGTACCTAATATTAAAACTACATCACTGCTGAATACTTAAAGGTGGGGTGAGTGATTGTAGGTGATGTGATTCCAATCCAATACACTTCTTTTTCTTTAAAATTCAGCCAATATTTTCTCACGGTCCACTAGCTCTCCCCTCTGTGTGTGCCCTGAAATAAAATCCAGTGGTTGTACGCAGCCCCAGCTCTGTTAATGGGAAACAAACAGATTAAGCAGAGCCCCACAACACTCACTTGTTTTTACAGCTAGGATTTATGTGTCAGGTAACTTTAAATGACTCCCACCGTGGATATTCAGCTTAGTTTCTAGTGTCGCATCTCACAGTTTGCAAACCCACAACAGTTAATGCTAGTTACATTACTTGGTGTGTCGTTGTTTGCTCTCTTATCATGGGATTCCTCCAGAATAGTTTACCCCACCTTTAATGTTGAAATTAATTTATAGTTTAAAAATGTACATGTATAGCATTGCATTTACCTTGAAAAGGGTACCTTCAGGTTGTGTAATGTCACAATCTTGATATATTTTTGTATGGTTCACAAATTAAACAGAAAAATACAATAAAAAAAAACTGCACTCAAGTGACTAAAACTTTAATTGGTAATTTTCAGCTCTAAATGAAGAAACAAGGAGGAATCATGACTGAATCGACCCTCGACATATGAGCAGAGAGAAAGAAGTTCACACGAGGCTGTCTTGAAGAGAAAATTGTGGTGTTTACCTAGTCTCCTCTAAATTTCCTTTAAAGTCATGTAACTTTTATGTTATATTGAGCTTTTAGATTTCTCGGCTCTGCATTCTCACGATCAAAGCGTTCAGAAGCGTTTAAACTTCATCCTTCATTTTCCTTTTAGCTGTATGATACATATCAGCCTTCCCATTGAGAATGATTTAACTTTGTGAAATAGGGAGATTTGGGTTTCTTCATGAACATTCAAAAACATCCAAAGTTAAAATAAAAAGTTTATTTAAACTTCACCACATCATTTTTCAAATTAGATACATATACATGTATATTTGTTCATCTGTAAGTATGTTGTGCTGTTCTGGAACAGCTCTTGTTAAACCTATTCTGCATGGGTTACAAGTACATTACATCTTGGTCTGGTTAAAACAGGCTGCTACTAGCACATCATATTGCACGCCCATGTTTTTGCACTTTGTCACATAGTCGCCCATTCGTGTCAGGATTTCCCACCCAGTTTGACACTCTGAATACGTGTCATAAAAGCAACATCTTGAGGCCGTTTTGGCGACTGAAATGAACAATATGTTTTGTCTCCAAATTACAGATGTTAGATGACTTCCATACAGCTCTGTGTGCTGTAAGTTGTGCAGTGTAGTTGGAATGAGAGAGACGCCAGGAGCAGTGGAACAACTCTGTGGCAGCAGCCAGAGCAAAAAAGGAATTATAACGTGGCTGCGAGACATGCAGATGGAGGCTTGAACATGAGATAAACTGTGAGGATTTAAATATTGGACTTTCTTCTCTTTTTCATCATGGCAAAGAAGAAAAAAAAGGAAAGAAAAAAAGCCTGAAGCTTCTCACCAGCACAGCGCAGAATGACTGGAAGTCTCAGCTGGAATGAGACAAGCTTCACAAAATCCATATCCGCTGGAAAAGCTATTGTATGACAGCTGGAAAAACAGCACTGAACACTTGTGCTCAGAAAGAATCCACACCCATCAAAGAAAACACACACACCACACCGCGGGTGTAATAGCAACTACCGTACAACTGTTCTTACTTGGGTAAACAGTCAGACTTTTAATTACCAGTAGCACCAGTTGAACTGTCAGTCTGGTTTTGTCTGCTTTAGACATCAGTCAAATCAAACTCTTAACATATGCATGGTCCAAGGCAACCGACCAAATGATGCTCATAAATACAGTACATAATGCAGCATCATCATTCACTTTCAGACCTTAAAACCATAATCAATCTTTAATTAAATAGTGATGAACTCTCACAGAGAGTTTTAGACACCATATACATTTTTAGATACACTGTGTATCTACTGTGTACAGCTTTGATCCACCCTGATTAAATTATTCTGACATGGCCACAAATAATATTATATCATTTAAACCTTTGTAACCATCAGCTGTTGTCTCTGGTATAAATTTGATACTATTAAAACTTTAAAAGTCTTATTCAGTTTTATTTAAAATAACTTCCTGATTTGTGTCAGTGGGTACTTTTGATTTAGAGCACTTCATCTTGTGTCCATCACATGAACTACACTGCTCAAAGAAAAAGTCTCCAAATTTGATTATTTTAAGTTTTTGTGATAAATTTAAGGATTAAGTGTTCATAGGTTGAGAAAATTCCGCTACTTCTTAAGCTAAATAAACCATGTAAAAAGTCATTGGATTACCAGAAAAATGCCGTGATACAAAGCTAAATATGAATTTCTCTCAAGAAATAAATAAATATAAATTACTGTACTGATGGTTTTGGATGTTTTATCTCATTAACTAATGATCGATGCTAGAATAAGCAGTTGCTCAGTCTAGCAGTTGCAAGCAGGGACTGCGTGCTGACACAAGTCCTGACACCTGATATTTCAGAGCTGTCCACCAAACAGCTAATTTTTGAAATGCACATAAATTAAGCATTCTTGTTTGTTAATCTTCTGGGTTTCATTAAGCTAATGAATGTAATATTTTCCTACAGTCGTGGCAGTGGGAACTTCCGAGGGGTTTTCAAAATGAAACAAGAATTAGCCAATGAGTTTCCAGTTGAATACAGTCACATAAGATGATGAAACCTGTTTACTTCTGCATTTTCAGAAAGCCTTTTTGTACAGAAAACCTCAGACATTATAATCTAGTCACAGTTAATTAACTGCGATGAGGCTGAGGAGTCTCATGGGACAGAGTCTTATCTCACTGAGCGTCCAGTCTCACTCTGTTTCCTGTTCACTGTGTCTCTGCTGTGTCATGCATAGAGATGCTGGCCTGCTGTTTCCTCTGCCTCTTGTGCCTCCAGAGCAGGACAGCCAGCAAGAGGAGAAGCAAGAAGCCCAGAGCTCCCCCGATGAGTCCCGCTTTCAGAGTCAGACTGTTGTGACTGCTGTTGCTGGACTGGTACATCTTACAGGACGTACCACTCTTTCCAGCATCATTCACTGCGAGCACACAAACCTCTGAGACGTCGTCTATGTTGCCCACTCCGCCACTCCTTTTGTCCTTCCCAAACTTCTGCCTCTCTTGCCCCCCTATTGTCACAATGTAACCTGTGACAATTGAATGAGGTGCACACCAATGAATTACAACCTCTGACCCGTTCCAGGACACTGATTTCACCTCCGGAGCCTCTGGAGCCTCATTATGTAAAGTAAACCCTGGACACAAGCAGCCGGTGGAGGCTCTTAGCTCAGCACAGGGGATCTGATTCTCCCGACAGGAATTGTAGTCGCATTTGTTAAGGGTCCCTCCATTTCGAGACACTCTCTCTGGTAAAATAGTGGTGACTATGTCTTCATATGTAGAGTAATCATCTGAGGCAAGCATAAGGGCCTCAGTCCTACGTGGTCTTTGGGGTCCCATGGGATCTGTGCCTGTAACTCCTGTCGTAGGCAGGGGAGAGTAACCTCTGATGAGAACCAGGCAAATGATTACCCGAGGAAGAGGAAGGTCTCTGCTGGAAGGCATCACGCTGTCTGGAGAGAATATAAAGTAAAATTCCATCAGTGTGTTGGAAAATCTGTTTTTTGCATAGAACTGAAAAGTATCAGCCCCCTCGGGTTTACAGACATGTGTACGTTCAGAGAGTCTTAGTATTTTTGTCTTGCATGAAATGAGCCTGAATGAGGACATAGAGTTATTTCTCTCCTGATGCTGCGTCTTTCAGAGATTATGTGACTGCAGAGGATAGGGACTGTGTCGAAAGAAACAAATGGCTTAAAATGTGGGCCTAATTTCTGTTGGAGAATAAAGCATAAACTGTTTTCTCAAGACCAGAGCACAGTGCTTTTACTCTTGATTAAGCAGATGACAAAAATGTGGACATTTAATTAGTTGAAATGTATTATTCTGTGGCATGTTTTGTCAATGATTTATGGTCTTGTACACAGAGCTGCTCGGAATAATCCCCATTTGTTAAGCGTTGGAGATACTTCACACTAATTCAGCATTCCAAGCAGTATTGCACAACGGGTCCAAATGCCTACACACCCCAGGAACAGCACAGCCCTGTTAGCTGGATCCAGTTACAGGAAAACTGCCTGTGCGGTTTCCACAAGAATCCATAAAAAACATACCTGAAATGTGCACTGTGTGGTGGACATGCATGGAGAGATAACAATGAAGCCCATTCAAAAATCTCCCAAGACAAGTCTGTAGTTCTATTGAAAACAGAACAGGAGCCCACACTGAATACTAATACACTCTGTGCTCTTTGTTTTTGCCACAGCTAAACTCTATTCGCTTGTGTTAAGAGTGGAAAAAGCATAAAATATTAAAAGATATGAACTCACCTGTTGTTTGCAGAAGTTTGTAATCTTTATCAAAATGTGAGTGAGTTCCTTTCTCCTCGTCTTTCCTCCACTTGCTCCCTCACTTGCTCCCTCCTCTTTTATATGTTTTCCTTCTCCCAAACAATCACCTCCTTCTTTCCGCCCCCCCTTATTCCCGACAGTTCTGCACCAGCTCCACCTCCCTCCTTACTGAAGGATTTAGCAATGTGGGTGACTGAGTGAGTGATTTTTTTCATGCAGTTAGTGGTATTAGTCTGCTATTTGTGACGTCACAGCTACCTAATTTTTAAAGAAGTGAAGCTGGGGGATTGTGGCTGCATTCCTTCGCAGTGGGGAGGTGTATCAGAGAGTATCTGACTTGTTGATGAGCTCTTGTTTCCCTTTAAAGAGATGGAGGGAACTGAATAGGACTGGGATTATCTGTGTCACGGCTTTGATTCATTGGAATGTGTCATCCCTTACATATGCTAGCCTATCCTGTCCTCCTAACCTCTCACCGAAATACTACGTGACTTAACTCGAAACACTGCAGCAAAACTGAAAGGAATGAAAATTGTTGACCAAAAGGCCGGAAAAGAACCTGACTAGACCTGTTCAGGGAATAATTTGTAATGAGTGTCTCGGCGCTTCTTATATCCAGCACTATAAAACCAGATAAGTTCTTTTAATTCAAAAAATTGTTGAAACTGATTACATAAAAAATTTTAAGTAACACAAACTGAGTTTTTTAGGTGTTAGGCTTTTAAAAGTAATTTTAAGTGACAGTAACTTACAACTTTTTACGAGGTGTTTTGTTTTGTTTTTACAAAATTAAGTCATTCTCACTTAAAATTACTAAAGCTACTTGATCAAAAATGTTTATTTAACTTACAAAATGTAGTTTTAGTTTTGATGTAACCAGTTTCAACAATTTTTTGGGTTAAATTAACGTATCTGGTTTTACAGTGAGGGAAGAGAAGAACTGAACAAGATGTTTTCTTGGAGATGTGGAGAAGCAACTTTTCTTTATGTGGTAGCTGTGGCCTTAAACCGAGCTGCACACTCACCTCTCAGCTCTGATTTTGAGCTACATCTGCAGAAAAAGTGACCACAGTTAGCTCGTCCTGTACCAGAGACATTCACAAAATGGATGAACTGAGCTCCGTCAGTTCTGACTGGGAAACAACACCTCAGTCAAAGCTTACTGTACTAATGGAGAATTTAAAAAACATTGTGTCATATGGATGCTGGAAATAGCAGCACTCCCTAAAATCTGGCATAATGAAATCTATTAGTTCATAGAAGTGTTTAAATTTATGGTTTTCTGCTTTTTTACTGGGATTTACATGTGTACACTGGTATTTATAGCAGGAAAGAAGTTTGACCTTGTTTCTTATCAGCTAAAAAGTTATAAAAGTAACTACTAAATAGACTATACATTATCCTGGCAATATATATTAATGGAAAACCATTCTTTTCTCAGCACCCCCAACCCTGATTGACTTCCAGCATCGCTGAAGTGTCTTATTGCTGCTACATTATGCAAATATAGTGTTTCTGTCCTTTATGTAATTCTGTATGAAGCAGCATGTTTACATAACTACTGTTTCCCAACTATTAATTATGTATTACTTTTATGTCTTACATATTTGTCGTATATTCATTAGTCGCTTCTTGGTGTTTTTCCTTCATTCTTGTACGAGCATTTGTCTTTGGGTTGAGTGAACGTGTCTGGGTACATATAGGAAGGAGTGTGGGTGTGTACGTGTGAAGAAGATGCATATATGTAGGAATGTGTTGGTATGTTTATATATTGTGTAATACAAGGTTGTGTTTATGTATTACATCATGTATATTTCATCATGATTTATATTTATTGTAAGGTACCTGTTTATCTCTTTCATAGTGAGTCAGTCGTATGTCTGCCAACTAAATGTCCATAAAAGGAAACTGAGGGACAAACATTCAATACAACAAAGTGGTGTTACAGGCAATATGAGCTAATCAGAGACAGAGGTGAAGTCACTGAGCTAAAAAATACTTCTGTTGTGACTCTGGAAGTGACACAAATGCAAGCAGATGGTAACTGTTAGATGGTTTGTTACATAATCCCAAAATGCTTTGCCCCTTTTTGCCATGAACCACGTCACTTTCCCCCCTAATCACTGTTGTTTGGTTGGGATGAGTCTGCTTTCCTCATCAGAAACAGGTCCATAAGGAATACATTATTTTTATATGTGAAATGGAAGCAGCCCAAATGAATACTACAAGGTCCTGTTATATCAAGGACAGAAGATCTGTGAGTTTTTGATTACTGGCCAAATAATGCTGCCTACTTCTTTTTACTAATCACATTAGTTGTGATTTTTTAACGACCCAAGAGAAAAACAACAATACCTCCAGATGCCAGCTTTGGCCCACTGACAAAAGATGATCTGTAAAACTAGAATAAACAAGCCAAGATTCTTCATTAGTTTGTTCATTGTTTAAACATCTTAATAACATCCAGCCTACTTATTGTTAAATACATGCAGGAATGGGGGAATGCATCACACACTTTCAGTAATAATGTAATTAATTCTGCAGGCAGTGTTCAGTGGACATGGTCGCTAATGATTCTTCATATAGATAGATAGATAGATAGATAGATAGATAGATAGATAGATAGATAGATAGATAGATAGATACTTTATTTTTCCCGAGGAAAT